ATGAGTCGCGATAGCCGCTGAAAATAGTTCGTGTGTATTCAGCATGGTGCATAAACTATATGAGTGGCTTGCAAACCTCCAACGCGTCTACAACTAAGCGGCACGACCATGTATGATGACGTCATCGTTTCCCTGCACATGGAAGCCATCATCGCAATGAACCTCAGTGTTACGCCAAAAGTGCATTGGCACGTTTGATTCTGGGTAATTTCGAACTTGTTTGAATTTGAAACGCTATGCAAATCCCACCTATCTACAAACTCGCCCTCTCACCCCCAAGCTTCTTCCCTGTAACCCCCGAGAACCACGCATCCAACGCTTCACACGTGCCCTTCCCTTCCGCCAGCTTAACAACGACACCAACATAGCCGTCCGGTCGTACAACGATAACACCACCTGTCTCCTCATCAAGACCCATCTTAGCATGCGCCGCAGCCTTTGCATCAGGAACCCTCTGGTCCCAGACATCATCGGCGTAAACGTGATCGGCGTAGCGGCTGAAAGGCTGGGGTAGTTGTTCATCGATGTGAATACTTGAGCGCGGTGCTGAGAAAACGAGGGCCAGGGAAAGGAAATCGGTGTGGGGGTTGTGGCGTTCGTGGTACCGGTCTTTCTCCTTGATATCGCGGTGGAGGAACGTGCTGAAGAAGGATGTAGGAGATGACATCTGCGTCGCCAGATCTCTAAGTGCTGTTGCGCTCTTGTCCAAGCTCCCGCCAAAGATGAACATGCGGTAGGAGCCGTTCATGGGGATTTCTTGTTCGAGATGTACGACGTTGGCGTCTACGACTCGTGTGACGGTTGCCGGGGTCATGATTCTTCCTGTCCGTTGGCTTGTGCCGTTCTGGTAGGAGAGGATGAGGGGGTGCTGGGCGGAGTGTTCGGGGCCCCAGTTTATCATGTTGGGTTTGTAGGCTACGCCATATCCACTGGTGAACTCGCAGCTGGCTTTGAATGTCTTGATGAACTCATTGTCTTCGGGGGCTTCTTTCGCGGATGCGCCGGCAACTTCGCCGGCTGAAGGTATCCGCGCGGAGAACAGCTTTGCGTAGCGAGCGTCGAAGTCGAGGAGCGTTTCGGCAATGAGTTTGCGCTCGGATTCATATGTCGAGAGGAGAGAGCGGGGTGCCCAACCGCTCTCTACGTGATGAATCTTCCATGCAATGTTTACTGCGTCCAAAAACGCTGTGTTCATGCCCTGGCCAGCCTTGGGGCTATGTGTGTGGCATGCATCGCCACCCATGAAGACGCGCTCGTCTAGTGTGTAACGTTCCGCGATACCTTGACCGATAGGGTAGACTGAGTACCATTCTACGCGGTCCCAAGAGATGGTGTACGGTTCGAAGATCTTCTTAGCACGCGCTTGAACATCCTCCGCAGTGGCGGATTTCCGCGGGTCCCAGTCTTTGTCCGTAGAAGATGCGACTTGGATGTACAAGCGGACCATATTGTTCTCGCGTGGGATGATCATAATGGAGCCGTTGTCGGAGTGGATTGTGCATTTCATCTATGTCACTGTTAGTACCCACAGGAGCAAAGAACATAGGAGATACATACCTTGATGTCGGGGAAGTTCGTCCTGACAACTCCATCCATGACACCCCAAACATGCGCAATAGGATCCTTGTAGATCATCTTGACACCCAACTGATGCCGGACAAAACTCCTCGCTCCCTCTCCACTGAACAAGTATTTTGCGCGTACAGTCTCCTCGTGGGTGCCATCGATATGCGCCAGATTGACCTCAACAGGATACGTCTGATCCTTGTCATCATTCTTGAAGCCCTTGATCGTCCAGGGTCTTTGGATCTGACCACCATTCTTCTCAATATCCCCAATAAACGTCCTCTCGATCATACCCTGGTGAAGAAGGGTAGTAAACGGATACCGCGCATCGATGAACTTTGGACAACTAGCCCAAGTACCTGTCCGGTGAATACCCTTTTGCGCTGGATCCCAAAAAGCCACCTCATAAACCTTTGCGGGTTCGTATTCCATAATCTTTCGCTTGAGACCCATGTTGCGTAGAAGATCGAGAGAACGTGGCTGGATTCCGTCTGCGCGTCCAGTGGCGGTCGGCTCCGGTCGATTGTCGATGTGCTTGATCTTGTAGCCCCATCTCGCGAGACATGTTGACAGGCAGAGACCAACAGGTCCCGCGCCAACGATAACGATATCGTAGTTTTCCACCGCCATTGCTATTCTTTCAACCCAGATTCAAGGAAGAGTCTGTCAAGCAGATACAAACGCGTCGGGAACGATCCGGGAATACGGATGATGCCCCACACTCAATGATCAAAGTAAGTAATCTCTTCGCTCTCAGCTACACCGAAATGCTCAATGCAGGCGACAAGGCGTAAAGAAAGAGGAAAGAGGCGTAAAAGATGTAAAAAGGGTATAAAGTATATTAACTCGAACAGTAACCGACGATCCCAGTGACCGGCACCTGCTCTTTAAGAATCAGTAAACGACGCCATCAAACCACGGACCAAGGCTAGCCTCGGCCGCGTCTTCGTCATGGCAAGACAACTCGGGAGTGCGTAGTGCGCGCCGGCACACGACTTCGGATGCGCGAGAGAGGGAACCAGGGCCTGGGGACCTGGGTACGTGGGTCGCCGCGTGCGCCGAATGGGCATGCCGTCATGTTGCGGGGAGTCTGACTAGGCGTTGGCGGAACTGATGCGCGGCATTTTGAGCGCCAAGACACATCTCGCACTTTGCCTTTTGCAGGGCTAGCGTGGTTGCATGCAGGTTAGGTGACGCGCAGCCGCGATCTGGGCGAGGCAGGCGAGCATGGCATGGAGTATCGTGAAGTGGAGTGTTTCGGCCGCTTACATTTACCGCTTCTTCTTCCCTTGATGTTCGGTGTGTGAGTAGGATTCTTTTTTGTTTTTGACTTCGTACGAGGGTGTGTGTACTGCCAATGAGAGGGGTGGTAATAGGGCCGAAGCTTGTCGTTGAGATGATGATAAGGCTGCACGTGTAAGTAAGACTACGCTTGCGAGTACCGAGTATGCTTCCCGTGGAGTTTGCATCGAGGGTGTTGCCGCAGAATGTCATAGCTTCAACAGGAGCCTTGCTGCTAGTGAATGAAGACGATCTAAATTTCGCCGTGACGGTCTCGAAATCCTCCGTCTTGATTCTGAAATGTACCGTGCAGATGTTGAAATTGGCCGTGGTGATATGTATCATGATTTACGAAACGTTCTGGGTGTAAGGAAAGCTCATATCATGTAGATCATCATAATCTTTTCGACCCAAGGCATCTTGCAACAGCTTGTTTCGATATCAGCATTCATGCTGGACCTCATTGACATTCATCTCGCCTTCAATCAGACGGACCCATTGAGTACCACGATAATGTGTGTCCGTAGAGCAACTTGCCCCGGTGATGTACTTCTGTATTCGTACAATCATGTATGATACCAATAATATATACCAGAACCCAGACGCCAGCGCCGTTCACACAAAGCCGACTAAGCTTTGCGAATGATGTTCGGGACATGCCGCATGAACGCTCAAGCCCAGACATGGCCAAACATGCTGATGATGCAAAAAGACTGCATCAAGTCAATATGTTCCCTCCACATACTTCCATCGAAGCCAGGTCCCGGTAATGCCCCGCAAGCTTTTGCAGCATTGTGTGGCAACCGGCAAGGTCTTCCCGCTTCATCTCCCCCGGTAGTGTTCGATCCAAAGTGGATGGATATCCTCAAGATACTGTCATGTTGCCGAGTGCGACTGCCATTCTCTCCTCTTCCTTTCGAGCTCTCGCTGCCTCGGTTTCCTTCCTCATGGTCTCCAAGTTCCACTCATCGCCGCCCTCATCATCACTATCCGCATCGCTGTCTTGCGCCCAGTCACCCTTCTCGAACATAGCCCTACCAGTGGCATCCTTCATCTTCTTGGCCTCCTCTTCAGCCTGCTTCTTGTCGATACGCTCCTTCTTCCACTTGGCGAATGTTTCGGGCGTGACAGGTGTGAGCTTGCCGGTGAGCTTGTGTCGTTCAGATTCAAGGAAGTCTTCGAGGGTGAGGGTGTTGAGTGGTGAGTTGGCCATTAGGGCCTTTTCGGCGGCGCGTTGTTCCCTAGTCTTGATGACGAATCTGCAGAACATGTTAGTTTCGGTTCCCAGATGTGTTCGTTCTGTATGGCGATAATGTATTGTGAATACGTACCCAGGTGGTAGAGAGTGCTTGTACATGCACTTGTCGCCTTAGATACAGGTCAGCGCGCGCCTCACATGAATTTCGTTGTCGAAACTCACCTCCGTTCGGGCATGTCCAGAACCAACCATACTTCTGATCCTCGATAGCCTGAACAAAGTACTTGCACACTTTGTCTGTTGTGGTCTTTGGGTTGCCGTGCTTGCTGAGAACGACCTGTCGCAGCTTTTCCTCGTCCCAATCGTCCATGTTATCCTTCTTCCGTCGCTCCTCTTCCTCTTCCTTTTCTTGGTCTCTGTTATCGGTGTATAAACTCCTCTTCTCTGTTTTGCGCTCGATGGCCAGGTCATGGCTGAACTTGCACTTCTTGCCCTTTTCGCAGTTTCCCTTCTTGTAGAACTGGCATAGTACGGTCTTGGGGTCGGTGCCAAAAGGTACTTTCTGGACCTGCACTGGTTTGAAGAGCTCGGCGGTCTCTTTGCGGGCTTGTTCTGCCGCCGCCTTGTCTTTCTCGCGCTGGGCTTTCTCAGCGGCCTTGCGCTTTTCGTCGGGTGTGCCACCTGATGCGGTGGTGGCTTTGAGTTGCGCGATCTGCTTCTGGGCGGCTCCTCCCTTCTTATTTTTCATACCAAAGGTCTTGTCCACCGCGACCTTCTTCACCTTGGGCTGCTCGCCCTTGCCTTTGGGTGGCATCTTGGCTTATTGTGTACGGACGTTGAAGTGACAGTGGGGAGGTTGGTTTGTGATATTCCAAGGATCCGGGCGCCTTGGAGAGTCGAAAATTCGGTGCCTGGCGGGGGATATGGGACCTGGGTCGTGTGTGTCAAAGTGAGAATGACGCTGTGTGGGGTGGAATTTCGAGTGGCGGAGCATCTGGCGCTAGAGCCAGCCCTACCTTCGCCGACATTCCCGAAGCTTCAAGGTGGCCTTCACATGAACCCCAAGAGTCAATCGCTGCGCACCCAATACTGTCGCGACATTCCCGTCTCTCGAATTGTTCTGTCGCATCTAGCTTCCGTAAGCTCTTGGCATTCTTGTCTCTGCCATTGGATTTACTAACAACTCCGCAGCGCCCTTGACGCCTTACACCTGTCACCCAGCTACACTCGACGCGCGGTCGCACCCAAGATGATTACCGACAGCCAACTCTACTCGCTCGCCATCTTCCTCGGAAGCGCTGCCATGCTGCTCATCGTCCTATACCATTTCCTCGAGGTCAATTCCGACGATCACAAAGTTGAGGAGAAGCCCAAGGCCGCGTCAGGCAAGGTCAAGGCATGAGTTGCGCGGTGCATACGTGGGAGAGGGTCACAACAAGGAAAGAGGCTGGAGGGAGGACAAAGGATACCACTTGTAGGTCGGCGACTTTTATCAAATGGGGGCATGGAGTTCTGGCGTATCAAAATAGCGATTTAATCGCTGATGGATTTAACATGGTTGAATTGGCTATGGCTTACGTATGGAGACATGCTTCGGCTTCCTTCTACTGCGCACCCATAAAGACTCCCAATGCGCCTTGTCCTCGCTATGGGTATACGCGTACTTATACAAAATTATCAAATCTGAGCTTATTCGCAGTCCTTAATCCTCGGCATCTACCAGCTCTTCCTCTTCCTCGTCGCCTTCGATGAAACCCCTTCGACGCTTCTCGTTGGCAAGCGTTACGCCTCCACGATCCATACCGGGTCCACCAATGCGCTTCTTGAGCGACACAAGTCTTTCATGCGCATCGCGGGCTTCTTCTTCCGCTGAACGCTTGGGTGGACGTCCGCGACCGCGACCTTGGCTAATAGGTGCTTGTGGTGATATGCTTAGTGCTTCTATTCGCTCGGGCTCGACTGTGATACGTGGTGTAACTTGACGTCCCTGCGCATCGCTGAGATATGCCTCAGAATCATGCGAGTCTATGAATGAGAGCGTTAGATCATTTCTCTCCAAGTGTTCAACGACGATTTAAGCCCATCAATTATCTTCCTTACCAGAGAGACCCCCAGTCGGCCCATCACCAAGCTGCCATGACAGAGGACTGATATGGGCTCCGTGTATGTGATTGCGCCAGTTGCTCTCTAGATCGAAGGAATAAGGCTGATGACGCTCGATGCTCATGTTCGTCATAGGGTCGTAATTGGTGACTTCTTTGCCGCAATCATCCCACAAGCATTCCAGAGTCTCCTTTCGATGCACCTTGTATATATGCTTTTGAAGTGTCTCTAGATTGTGCAGATCCGCCTGACAGTTCTGCCACTTGCACTTATACGATCGGTACTGCGGGATATGGTTTGCAACACTCGGCGACCTGGAACTGATACGGATGGGCTCGTTGCGCAATGAGCTTGGTTGCGGCGGCTGGTGCTTGAGAGGACCTGTGTGACCGTTCAGAGCTGGACGAGACTGCGCAGCCGGAGATCCATGGATTGCCTTTCTCCACCCAATTGGGCGGCCCTTCTTCTTCGGCAGTGGCTTGCCATCAGGCCCATACTCCGTAGCGGAGCGGAATGCTTGATATCCAACCCCAGCAGCACCGGAAGTAGGGCGTGGGGCACTTTGGCTCATAGAAACGGGGTTGCTCGGACGTTTGGGTGTCGCTGGACCTGGACCCGCACCGTTGGGGAGGGAGTGTCGAGGAGGGCGACCGCGGCGCTTCTGCTTAAACGGATTGATGGCTTCGGGTAGAGCTTGGACCTTCTGAGCCCCACCTTCACCAATCGCACTGGGCGGAGCGCGGACACGAAGCGCTTCATCGTCGTCGGAATCGTCTTCCTCATCGTCTGCATCCTCAGTCAAGGCTTGAACGCCGTCTTTGAAATACCCTGGAGGAGGTCGTCCTGGATCAATCAAGTCCCACCTGATTGTACTAAGATCCGATTCCCAAGTTATCTGTGGTAATGTGGTCCTCAGTCCATCTAAATGTTGGTTCAGATTGCGCTCAGACGGATGGCGTCCACAAGCGAGGAGTACATCCCTTGCAATCGTGGCAGGGTTGTATGTGTTTCGACGGAGAGCATTCTTCTTCTCAAGTGGTTCAACATAGACCTGGTACCGGAGTTCGTTAGGCGGCGGATGGACTGGCGGCGGCGCAGATGCTTGTGGCTGATATGAAGGGGTGTTTGCTATGGGGAAGTTCGGGGTGGAAGGCTCTTCATCGACAGCCATGGCATCTTGATGCGAGTATGATGCGTAAGGGTCTGCGTTCATTCTCTTGCGCGGCGGACCCATGTCTTCCTCTTCTGAAAGTTGAGACAAGTCGATGAGATCGCTCAGATTGCGTTTGCGAGCAGCCTCTTCCTTGTTTGCTGGCTTTCTCAGCTCGGGCTTAATTGGCACCATCTCGGCGACGGGTGCAGGCGCAGGTGCAGGTGCGGGCGACGCGCTCCCTGGGAACGACGGGTAAGAGCTTCCGTTCGCTGGTGAGGCAGTTGCTGGTGTGTATTGAGGGGTCGGCGCAACGGGGGTCGCGACTTCCTTTCTCATGACGGCAGGCGGCACTGGCGGTTTTTGAACTGGAACTGGCGCCGCCTGTACTGCCTTGCGAGATGCAGAATTCACATCTGGCACTGCTGTGAGTAGGCTCTTAGCGAACACTGCGCGATCTAGCTTCAGGCCCATTTGCTCTAGTTGTTCGCACAACTCGATGTAGGAAGGGTTGCTGTTGAGTAGCCCTAATATCTGGCTGGGTTCAACTTTGCGAACGTCATTTTGGGCGTTGAGATATGCTGCTGCTGCGCTCGCCAGATGTGCCTTCTTCTCGGGTGGCCAGTGAGTGTTACCTGTGGGTCGAGTTGGGGTCGGCTGTGCTTGTCTGACAGGGACAGCTTGGGGTACGGCAGGCGTAGCTGGCTTCGCTGCTGGTTTGGGTGTCGCCTTCTTCTTCGAGTTCGTCGCTTGGGGCGTGACGGTTTGAGCAGCCTGTGCGGGTTGCGAGGTGGCAGACTGGGGAGCGGGTTTGTTCTGCGCAGTCGGAGACTTGGGCGCTTTCGCTCTGCGTTCTTCTTCCCAGATTCGAGCTAGGAGTGCCGGGTCCTTGCTGTTTAGCTCTCTCATCTTAGCCATCATCGCTCGGATCTCGCTCTCTAGTGCTTCAGCAGGGCCGTCGGCACTAGATGCTGCAGAAGGTGCTTCAATCGCATTCGCTTGCTGTTTTTGCGCCTTCTTCGCTCTTGGCTTGGGTTGTGAAGCGCGCAACCTAGCCTCCTCTTCCTCTTGTTGTTTGCGTTCCTCTTCCCTCTTTTGCTCCTCTAGTTTGCGCGTCTCCTCGGCGATCCTCTCTTCTTCTGCGCGCGCTGCATCTATAATCGCCTGCTGCGCAGCCTGTTTTCGCTGATATTCTGGCCATGGATCGTAAACTGCCATGGGGTCTACAGTGGTGGTGCCCTGCGCACTGTATGTGTCCGCCATACTGGTGGCCGGTGCCGGTGGTGGCGGCACAATCGCAGAAGGCATTTGCGCGTTGCCGTAGTTGTAGGCCGTTGACGATGTGGCGTTCTGAGAGTTACGCGAGGCTTCAGCAGCTACGCTAGGGAGCTGTCGAGCATTGTAATCGCCATACTGCTGGTTCGCCGTGGTGGTCATACTTGCGCTGCGTGAGTTGCTAACAGGCGCATTGTTGTACTGAGGCTGGGCTGGACTGGCAGAGCGCTGTTGCTGCTGGGTGTACATCGCTTGGGTTCTCTGAGTCTGGGAAGGGTACCCTGCCGCCACGGCCGGTGATGGCAAGCCTCGACTCGCTGGCTGCGCGCGGTTGTTGTTGACGCTCCGTGGACGCGCTTGCGCTTGTCCGTAGCCAGCGTGGGGTTGTTGCGCCTGTACTTGGGGCGAATGCGAATTGCCGGCGGCGTAGCGACTGGAGTGCGAAGAGGCGGCTGTATTAGTTGCGGTGAAGCCCGCTTGGGTATTCGTCGGCGCGGTATTATTCGTATACGATGTGGAGCTGCTCATATTCCGCAAAACCTCGGCGGCGCCTCTGGTTGTCTCTCGTGTCCCGCCATAGTTGTTGCTACTCCATGAGTTATCTTGCACCGTTCCATATCCACTGTTTTGGTTCGCGTACGATTGCGGCTGGTAGGAGACGTAGTCTTGCGCTTGTGTCGTCGGCGGCTGCTGGTACTGGCGGGATGGTTGCGCGGCGCTGTTCGCAGCGGGTGCAGTCTGGTATGCCGAATACTGTTGCGCCGAACTTTGTTGATACGGGTAGCTATAAGGGTTGTAGTTGTTTGACGACATAGCAGCGTATTCCTAAAGGTCTGCAAGTCCTTCCGAAGCCACTATATAGGGAAGATTCGGTCGCTGCATGGGGACCGTGGTTCGCGCGAAGGGGCTCGGGTAGGCGTGAGCGGGGGTTCGGGTGGGTGTAGATGCAATATTAATACCGCACTCGGGAATCGTCCGTATCGGGGCTGCACCTTGGCGCAAGTTATGCGCTGGTCGAGGGAGCAGACTGACTGCGACGCGTGTTGAAAGTGCGCGACGGCTCGGCGATGCGCTCTATGATGCAGACGCGACTTGCAGCGCCAGACTGTTCGGCGCGGAGAAACCCACACTCCGACCGCGCTAGCGAAGCGAAGCCGCCCTAGCAGAGGCACATCTCACAACACCAATTTTGTGATCGCGACACGAACTTTGTCTACTAACCCGACAACCGCCAATCCCACAGCAAAAATGACCAAGGTTAACGCAATGGTCGCGAGCTCTCGACGCAAGTCCCGAAAGGCGCACTTCAGTGCGCCGAGTAGTGTGCGTCGGGTCATCATGAGCGTATGAAGAGACTTGGAACATTGCATGGGACATGTTCTAACAACCTTCAGGCGCCTTTGAGTAAGGAGCTCCGCGAGAAGCACGGAGTGCGCAGCATTCCCGTCCGCAAGGATGTAAGTATCCAGATCTTCTCCCCCAGTTTCGTCGTATGCTGACTTTTCCTAGGACGAGGTCATGGTCGTCCGCGGCTCCAACAAGGGACGTGAGGGCAAGATCTCCTCCGTCTACCGCCTCAAGTACTGCCTCCACGTCAACGGCAGTGCGTAGCCCTCTATTCCCACTCGCCAGCAGATATACTAATTCACAACACAGTTGTTCGCGAGAAGAGCAACGGCCAGTCCGTCCCCATCCCCATCGCTGCCTCCAAGGTCGTCGTCACCAAGCTCAAGCTCGACAAGGACCGTGAGCAAATCCTGGAGCGCAAGTCCGCCGGTCGCGAGGAGAAGAAGAAGCAGAGGGAGCAATAAGCGTATCGTCCCTTTCTATTGACGATACACTACGGCTATGAGGGACATCGACACGAGCATCCC